GGTTTTTTTGGGGGGGGCTTGGGGGGTGGGGAGAGGTGTCTAAATTATCTGGATAATTACTTAAATTCCACTTAGTCTGTGTAACAGCTCAAATATTGGGAAAGCGGCAAATGGATATTTATGAGAAACTTGTATCTTATTGCAAAATTTTGTTTCTTTTTTGAAAATTGAATACTGTAATTCCTTACAGATCTGGAGTATGGCAAAGTGGATAGATAGCTGGCCTCAGAGTCTGGAAGATGAGGGTTCAGTTTATCTCTGACACTTAACAATTATCTAACCCTTAGTTTAACCTCTCCTGCCCCCTGGCAACTCCAAAACTATAAACTATAGAAGCTTTGGTAGAGGAAGTTCTTAGCCTGGAGCTATCTAAAATCTGTGATAAAATCACAGGTCTGGTTTAAGAAAAAGCACAAAAAATTCCTCCTAGGATTGGAAGCAAAAAGGGTGCCTCAATGATAAGCAACTCTAACTCTCACTCTCATTTTACTGAGGTGGTTAAAGGACTTGCTTAAGAGTCACCCTTGCCCAAGGTAGCAAGTGAGCCATAGAGTTGTGATTTAGAGTCCTTTGATCTCAAATCTGGTGTTTCCTCTCCCATGCAATTGTCATTTGGATTCTTCCACACAGAATTTTAATTGAGTTACTCTGTTTCAAACTTAGTAATCATAATCTCGAAAAGGGCTTAAAATATTATAAAGAAAAAAATTGCTCAATTTTTCCACTGAGTAAAAACTGATTTTGAAGATGAAAATTAACTATAGCATTTAATACTTGGTATTATTTTTCACTGTAGTATTATGATAGTTGCTGCAGGGTGTTAAAGGATAAGCTATTTTAAATAAGGGACTACGGTTGAATGATGACCTTGTAATGTTAGTTTATCCTCTTGCTGGTTAGAGGTACAGTAATTAATGAAATGTTTTTCACTCTTTCCATTGCCCTTTAATTAAGTATGCTACTAACTTTTAGTTTTGCTCCAAAACATTGTTATGAACTAGATTATTGCTGGGATTCTCTTCCCTAAAGCTGAGGTATGCCTCTTGTCATACTGAATGACCAAGTTTGGTATTTTCTGACAGCTGTTGAGTGAGAGAGAGCTTGGAATAATCTACCATGTAACACTGTTGGACTAGAAAGAAATGGAACAATGCATGCTCTAGAGAGTGCATGGGGACATAAGCAATTTTTTTTTTGTTATAAAAACTTCCCTTTCTGAATCTGTTCCCTCAAACATGTTCCCTATTCTCTTCCCATTCTGTCTGTCCTTTGGAGTATCAGCAGTAGCAGCACCAACCAGGGGAGACTGAAAAACAGTGTTTGCCTGCATTCTAGCCTTTACCTTTTAGCTCTGAAGCAGGAGCCAGTGTATATTGGTAAAGGGAATTTCCCTCACTGGAAGTTTTCTGTGCCAGGGGAATCATAGCTTTTTACGGGGAGGGTTTTTTATTTTTCCCTTCTATGGTATAGTTCAGACCCATCTCTAAAAGACAGTAACCAATAAATCAAGTTTTAAGAAGCAAAATAAAATGTGATTTTTGACTAATATTTTGTAAAAAATACAGTACACCATTAAGATCAAAGTTCAAACTTAATCAGTGATAACATTTATTTTCTATTTTATTGAACTATTGACATGAATAAAACACCATGGTTGATAAATATCAAAGTAATTCTTACATATTATTAGAGGTAACATTAAATTTTTGTTTCTTTGGTGATCAGTCAGTTATCTAGATGTCCAACTTGGACTAGTAGATAGGTTTTAAAACATTTTAATCTTATTGATTGACGCCTTTCCTTAGACATCACATTTCCATACCTCTGCTTCCCTTATGCAAAGAGCTATCCCTTGTTAACAAAAATTAAAGAGCCATTCAGAAATCACAGACTATTTTCAAAGCAAAGCATATTTTTGTAGATGCAAGTGATGGAGAGTCAGTGGACCTTGGGTTCAGATCCTGGCTCTTCCACTTAACATTCTGTATGACTTAGGCTAATTAACTTAATGTCTCTGAGTTTCAAGTTTTTTTAGTTGTAAAATGAAGGGAGTTAGACTAAATGAAGCTGTCTTCCAGCAGTAAATTTTATGATTCTAAACTTGAGGTGGAGAGAATTTGAAGTAGTTATTAAACATTTCTTAATATTTTTGTTGGTGTGGGTTGGATTCTTCCACCACTGCAAATGTCCACCTTTACCTTCTTGTCCTGTATGATTATTATCTGTGTCTTTTTATAAATCATCCATCAAGGATGAGGCTGTCCTCTGGATCTTTTGAAGAAACCACTATAATCTTGCAGCCCCTCATTGTTTTATTCTTCATTTTCAATATAATGCTGGCCATCTCCTTTTTCCTTCATGCATCATCTTGATGTATTTCCTGGCTACTTCTTACACACACGTTGACTTGGGCTCTGTAGTATAGCCTTCTTACACAATTATCCTTTGACTTTGAAATATTTTTGTTGTCCATTTCCATATTTGAAATTTGTAATTTTATTGTGATTATTCTGAGCTCTGTTGTGGAATGCTGATAGGAGACATAGATAAAATGGCAGTGTGGGTAGTCTCCGATTTTATGAAGACGAATATTTCTGAAAAGTGCCTTGAAATAGACTGAGCTTGTATCCTCTGTTTGATCATGTTCAATATTATTGGCATAAATTGTTGATATGGGAATGAATGTGATCAATGGGATTTCTTAAATTTCTAAATAAGCCTGCCATTTGCTTGTGTTGTTTGCATTTATACATATTGTTATTTGCATATTTCAAGTTTTGAACACAAATTGGTTTATATTGCTTATTTTAATGATTGAATCATCACAATGGAATGAAAAATGAATGTTTTAATATACAAACTTTGTTTAACATTTCCTGTCTGTATAATGTATGTGTATTCAAGTGCCAGTCAAGTTCATATTATTTTTGACTAGGGGATAATGTTTGATCTTAAGAACAAAATCTCTATTTGGATAATACTCTGGTTGTTTGAACAAAGTTTTCTGTTTAGCTGTACTTTTGCCTGCCTGATTTTTAGGAGTTTCTCAGTGAGGAGTAGACAATAAGTTTTAAAGGAATATTCCAGGGTCTTACGGAACTTAAGAGTTTAAGTAAACTTTGGTTTTTGCATGTTTACCTTGATCCAGTTAAGAATCAAGGGCAATATAATAATTTGTGGTTTGGGAGGCATACTTATACCAGTATCCTCTCCCTTTTTGACTTTATAAAATAGGATTCACATGTAATTTTTTTTTAAACTACTAGAATTTTGTTTCTAGATATTGTTTTTATTGAATGTTTCAGGTTCCCATTTCAAAATATATATTTTGGGTACTTTAGGATATGTCTTAATGAAATAACTTCATAAGGAATTTATTCTTTCTACCTTTTCTTTAAAAAAAATCGTAAAATTGCTGGAATGAGTGTGTGTGTATACACACACAGACACAATTTTTGAGTAAGTGAAAGTTACATTTTAAAATTACTATTGTTTTACTTAGATCAAATTCTTTGTGATTTAGCTTCTTTGTAGTGAATCTAGAATATAAAATTTCCCCTCCTAAATAGCATTAAAATGTGATATTGAATAGGTCTGTGATTATATTCTTTTAGGTGACTCCAGCTTAAAGATTTTATTTTGTCAGTAGCATTTTTGAAGTTCAGATAGAAGTACTAATTGAATCCTCTTTAATTTAGTGAAGCCACAGATAGAGTAAGCAGGGTCACCTAAAGATAGATTTACTCAGATGTTGGCTGCCGCTCTGGAACGATTGAGCTTTGAGCAGATTTCCATAAATGGAAAGAGCAACTGCAGAGGCACAGCTACCTTCGTGAGAGTGTAGATGATGTGCAACAGGTGGTTTATGGGGTCACTGAATTTAAAAATGTTGTCCAAAAAATTGGAGGCTGATGAGAAGGTAGTGGGGTTAGTTAGGAGCATTTAAAATAGTAATTCAACTAAGGTGTTTTTGTTTTACCTTTAAAATAGGATAGAAATTGTTTTTATGATACAAAGGCACATATTTTCAGCACTTTGGATCCTATTTCCCCCACCTCAAATTTTTTTTGTAAAAATTAAACAGGAGTTGGTAAAAAGTGAATTTCCTGCATCCAGTAACAAACACATTCTAGTAAAGTTTTTTGCTGTATTAATTGAAAATTGTGTTAATTATATTTATGATTAAGGACCTGTCAGTTTATGAAAAGTTTTATCTTAATGTAAATTATAAAGCACTGATTCACCCATTTTCTCACAAAGCAGATGGAATGTCTTCATGGGAATAAAGGGAATTGTTTTCTTAGGAGCCCAGCAAGTTCTTCTTAGGAGGAAGGGAAAAGTTACTATGGATGAAATGTCAATGATTTTCCTTAATAAAGTAGACTGTTTCTAATCCTAGGGTTCATTTTTTACATCATCAGTAGACAGGATGCTTCTAAACCAGGAGTGAATCAACTGTTGTAAAGAGTAGAATCGCTTGTCATTCCTGTGTGCCCAGAAGGGTATATAATGTGACTGTGAAATTTGGGTTTGTTCTGTTGGTTAATTGAACTACTTAATTATTTTGAATAGGATTAGAGTTAGGGACTTGCTTGGGACCCAGAGCTTTATTAGACATGGTATTGGATAGAAGTGCTTTTTACCTCATAGAACTGTTAATCTGTAACCATGCTTATTTTTCCTTAGTTAGTTTTGGCTTAAAATTGACATAAGAGTTCAAATTTCAAGGTTTCAGAGTTGAATTTCAAATTTCAACTTGTTTTTCCTTTTTTTGTCCCCAGAAAAATATGTTTTAAAAATTAACATTCATTTTAGGAAGCTTAGATACTACCTATTCCTTATTGCTTTGAAACTTCTAAAGACTGTATTCAAGTTAATCAATGTATACTAATCGTTTTAATGATGTTTAAAACTTTTCATCTGGAGTGAGTTTCTTTTATTTTAAAATATGTACTTGAAATGACTTTTTTAATGGAGTGTACTTGATTTTTTTTTCCTAGTTGAAGCATCAGTTCACGGTAGTAATGTACACTGCACGGATAAGACAATTGAAGCTGCTGAAGCCTTGCTTCATATGGAGTCTCCAACCTGCTTGAGGGATGCGACAAGTCCTGGTATGTGAACTGCCACTGAGATGACTATTGTGTTAACTATATTATAGCACTTGTTTCAGTTTTCAAGAAAATTGACTGTAAAAAGTGTAAATGGATTATTGTAGTCACTAATCACATGTATGATTAGTTGGCCAAAAATAATGACTGATAGATAGGTGTGCATACATTTAGGTCAAAGCTTTGAATGTTTATTGAATGTTTCATCCTAATAATCAATGAAATAAAGAAGACCCTGAAGTTTACAAAAATTGTAGATTTAAAAAAAATATGCCAAATATATATATTTTAGAGTTACTATTTATACTATAGTCTGATTTTCTTTAGATAGGTCATAAACCATAGCAGATAGGGCATAGAGCTGCATAGAGCTCCCCAGAATATGGTGACTGGGGACTTAATCCTCTCCCTTTCCTTCTAGCCATTAGATAGGCAGTGAGTCAGATGGGTGAGTAATAGGGAGAAGCAGGTAGCTTCACAAACTAGTGCTTTTTTAAATTTTATTTTTATTTTTATTTTTTTGTTTTTAGGCAGTTGGGGTTAAGTGACTTGCCCAGGGTCGCACAGCTAGTAAGTGTCAAGTGTTTGGTCTGAGGTTGGATTTGAACTCAGGTCCTCCTGACTTCAGGGCCGGTGCTCTATCCACTGCACCACCTAGCTGCCCCCTAGTGCTTTTTTTTAAAAAATCATAATTTGAATTTATAGTTGTCCTTCAGTTGTGTCCAACTCTTCATGACCTTATTTGGGGTTTTCTTTGCAAAACTACTGGAGTGGTTTGCCATTTCCTTCTCCAGCTCATTTTACAGATGAAGAAACTGAGGCAAACAGGGTGAAGTGACTTGCCTAGGGTCACACAGCTAGTGTCTGAAGCCAAGATTTGAAGTCATGTAAATGAGTTTTCTTGACTCCAGGCTTGGCACTCTGTGCCACTTAGCTGCCCATAGAGTTTATAGGCTTATGAAGGCTTATCATCAGGTAGTCTCTGTGGAACTAGGACTGCTTTTTTCTTTGTCTGGAGATCTCCTGGGCTGCATGTTTACTTTTTTGTGACAACTTTTCCCTTTAAGGGGTTCTTTACTTTTGTCTTGATTTCACCTATATAAAAAAATGTTGCGGCAGGAAATATATAATTTGACTTAAGACTAACTGAATATGGCCCCGATTTCCTAGAGTTGACATTGATGAAAATTTGTAGTAATTTCTAAGAACAGCTTCTAGTTAGAAAAGGGATATATTTTGATTGTTTAAGAATGAAACGGAATTTTTAAGGATCATAATCTATATTTTGCATGAGAATATTCTGTGTATTAGAGATAAAATATAGTTTTACTGTTTGTACAAAATTTAAAGTTACATATTAAATATTTTTTAAAAATGATCAAAAGTTATATTTCTTAGGTCAGAGAAACACTAAATACAAAGTCTCACTGGCAGTTTCTATGATTACAAGATTATGCCTACCAGTCTGTAATTATATTTTATTTTACTTCCGTACTTTTTAGAAGGAAAACCATAGATAGGCTAGGGGAATGAAAGATGGCCTGGTCTTTTATATCTTAAGCCTCATTACAGTTACTGCTAAGTTGAATCGTAATTAATACCTCTTCTGAAATTTTAATTGTCCCTGTTATAAAACTTATTGAGAGGGGGATAAAAATGTAATTTTTTCAACTTTTTTTTTATAGTGGAAGTCTTTGTTCCTCCTTGTGTGTCTACTCCAGAGTTTATCCATGCTGCTATGAGACCAGATGTCATCACAGAGACGGTAGTTGAAGTGTCAACGGAGGAGTCTGAACCGATGGATGCCTCTCCTGTTCCAACCTCACCAGATCTCCATGAGCCAATGAAAAAGAAGAAAGGTGAAGTAGATTTTTGTGGAAGGTGTTTATTTTTTTTCTTCAGGAAAAAGAATTTGAAACTATTAAAAACTGAGTGCACTGTAGTCTTAAAAATAAGTGTTATCCTAAACCACTTCTCTACAGTGTCTCATTTTGATTGATGGTATAGTCAGTAGTGATCCCTAGTTCAAACTAAAATTTTACTTTGGTCCTTAAACTAAACACTTTATTACATTTGCATTATTTCTAAACTGACGTAGTATTTAGTACTGAGTCAGAGAGTACTAAAGTACAATTCGGAGGCACCCTATGTTTTCAAAGATGCCAGATAAATAATAAAAAGAAAAAGGAACCTGTTCATATTTTATGTTGTCTTTCCTTTCTTGTATATACCAGTTTTCATTAATGAATTTTTGTAGTACTGGGTTGCTTGAGATAGAGTATTTTATCCCTTTCATCTTCATAGAAGCTCTCTCTCCCACTTTAGTCTGAAATAAGTTACATTAAGTGGAAAGATTTGTTACTGTTTATGATTATATACTTTAAACCCTTTAATACTTTAATGCTTTGTTCTAATAACCAGCAAGATTTGGAAGTTGCTTCTTCATGTTTTATTCTAATAACTAGGAAGGAATTGGAAGTTGTTAATGCAAAACAAATTTAATGGGTTTAAAAGTGTGCACTTGACAGCCAAATATATATGTGTTTTGGTTTCAGTCATTCTTTATCTTATGGTTTGTTTTATGGAACTGAATCTATTAATCACAAACCATAGATGAGTGGAGACAAAGCTATATTACAGGATGATGTTTGGAGGCCTAATTGTGTGTCTTCCCCTCTGCAAGTGTTGTTACAGGATTTGACTTTGTAGCCAGTAGGAAAGGAGATGGCATCTTAAGGTAATGTGGTATAGTAGCTAGAATGCTAGACATAGAAATGGGGAGACAGAAATTCTAAGCAAAGGGTTCAAATCCCCCTTCTGATATTCTGATCATTGGCAAATCAGTCAACCACCCTGAGCTTCAGATAACTCTTAAGATTGAATTTGGATGGATTGTGATCTGTGTTAGTGGAAAGAGTTCCCATGTTAACCAATCACAAGTCTGTGACATATTGACTGATATGCATTTTAAGTTAAAATAATCAAATTCATTGTAGAGTATCTTTGGTGCCTTCCAAAGAATGAATGAAACATACATCTCTTCCCTCATCAGAGGTCGATCATGACAGGAGTAGAACGTTGTCTACCCTGTCAAGATGTGGTTGTGCTATATCACTTGTTCTGTGTAATCAGTTTTCCTCATTACAATAGAGTGTTCGGTTTTGGGAGTGGGCTGTTAATGATTTTTTTTTACACAGTAATTTCTGAATTTAATTCCTCTTAAAAATTAATGTAAAAAGTGAAAACATTCACTTAGGCATTATCTGATTTATAAGCACTTATCTTTATAAATAAATTTAGGTTATATAGATACTATATATTAATACATATATTGCCTGTTTTATACCAACTTCTCCCATTACTCGAACCCTTGCTATCATTGTGAAAATACTTTTAGCTTTTAGAGAATCTGGGTTGAGGATTAGATGATGAAAAGGTTAGTGAAAGAGAAGGAGACAGAAATTTAGCAATTTTTTTCTTTTGCTTCTGAGCAAACCTTTCTATTAGGGGAATGTATCTATGCTTGAATTCAACAGACTAGAAATTCCCATATTAAAAAAGTTAATCTTGTTAACTGTAAGAATAAATAATATAAACAAGTTGTTTAAATTAGTAAGAAATCAATTTTTCCAAGTAATTTGAAGAAACATCTTTTTATGGTTCTTGTGTGTGTGTGTGTGTGTATGAAAATATACCAGATTACCTATTGAATACTTAACAGAATTGTTTAACTATAGAAGTAAAATCTAAAAAAATAGTCATTATAGGGTTACAAAAACATATTATTTAATATGCCACTTGCTATTAAAGTGCATTGAGGAAACAAAAATGACACATGGATTGAAGAGCTAAATTAGCATGATTCTGAAAAAAAAGTTCTGGCTCCGGAGTCAGGATCTGGGTTCAAATCTCACCTTTGATGCTTTTTCCCTATAGGTGACCTTAGGGGAAAGTAAATCTCTCTGGGCCTCAGTTTGCTCATTTTTAAAATGAGAGGGTTGGCCTCTCCTAGATGACTTCAGGTCCCATCCCTTGCTAGATTTATGATCCTAAGAAATAATTAATGTTGAATTTGATTTTGCAGTATGTTTCAGTTCTTATATTTAAATATGGATTTATCAGATCTAGGAAGTCAGAGTACACTACAGACAAAATAGAGCATACTGTGACAATGACCTTGACTCAAGAAGTGACCTCTTTTTCCTCCTCACATGCTCAGCCGTTCTGTGGCTCCTTGTTTTGTGCTGCAGCTAGATAAGAAGTTTGTTAACTTTCAGACTTAAACCTTTTCTGGGGTAGGGATAGGGACTAGACCAGTGATTTGATGGGTATAGGAAACTCCTGAATGAAGTTGCATTGTAGCAGACCTCCACAGCTTAGTTTCCTGGAAAATGGAGGGTTTGAGGTGACTTAGCCCAAGGTCATGCAGCCAAGGTATGTAAGAAGTAGGACTTGAATCCAGGTCTTCTTGGCTTTGAGGCCAGCTCTCTATCCAGTAGGCTGTACTGTCTACACGTTCAGGAAAATTAGTTTAATGAATACGAGGCCTTCATTTCAATTCCTTTCAGATTATATGGTAGAATAAACAAGATAACAATGTCAGCAGAAGGTTTAAGTAAGCAGAGTGGGTGAGAATGTCAACTAGAAGTTTAAATGAAAGATATGTCATCCATATAATCTATTGTACAAGTTTGCCAATGAGTTACCTAATTATTGTAATGTTGCTTTAATTAGGATCTTAGAGATCTTTTCCACTTCTTGAACTAAAATATTTTTGAATACAGATATAAGTCAAATCCAGTGACAATTAACTATACAGAAGCTCTACATTGTTCTTTTGAGATAGGATTTTGATGTAATAATGAAAAAAGTATTGAAAATTGCATTTCTTATTTGCAGAGATGAAACATACAGCAAGCAGTGAGATAATTGTAACTATTCCACTGTAATAAAAGATGTATTTCTGTGGAGTTCATTGTAACATAATTTTACTTAAATTGTTACCAGGATGGGGCACCAGAGAAAGCATAGAATTTTAAAGAGTTGGAAAAAACGTTAGAAACCTGCAGAGTCTCTGTCCAGCCCCCTCATTTTATAGATTGAGGACACTTGAAGCTCAGAGAAGTTGGGATCTGAATTCAGGTCTTCATATTCCAAGCCTCTTGATATTACAGGTATCCCACCCTGTAGAACATACCTATCTCCAGAAGCTGTTATGAGAAAAGAACTTTATAAGTCTAAAGCATTTTGTACATGGGAGTTATTGTCCCTGAGAAAGATTGTGCAGCTTTTGCTTGTATACCTCTAATATTAGGAAGCTCATTGCTTTACCCATTCCCTTGTTCTCCAGGATTTTAAATCCTTGTAACTACTTTAAACAAAACCCCAGTTCTCTAGATAGTTTGTTAGAACATAAACCTTATTTTAAAAAATCCTTTATTAAAAGTTGTATTGTCTATAATAGGATTCAATTACTTCAGTGTACCTATGATGCTTTTACCACTTATACATTCAGGGAGGTTTCAGTCAGGCCTTCTTATCAGTAAATGGCTGAGCAGAAATGAAGGAATCCAGGCCATTTATGTAACTGTTAACTTCAAACGGGATCCACTGCCATATGGAAGATGAAGAGCATTGGGAGAAGGTGGAAAGAGTGCCAGATTTAGAGTCAAGACCCAGGTTCAGATATCTTACTCCTGTCCCTTACAGACCTTTGTAACCCTGGCAAATCACTTCACCTTTCTGGGGCTCTCAGTGTCTCATCTGCAAAAGGAAAGAGTAGGACATGTTCTTGAAGGTCCCTTTCAACTTTAAATTGCTTTATGAAATAATGTAATGGGAAAATTCATCTCTGTAATTTACAGTTGGCTCAAAAAATAGGGTGTGCTTTTCAGGTCAACAGAGAAATGAATTGTAGAAGTTTAGCCTTTTAAAAATTTCAAAATGACAATCTCTTCTCATTTCACTTTGAGTTTTTCATTAGATCATATATTCTGAGATGGGTAGGTAAAGACAGATTTATACAAACCTGTACGACAGAAAACAGTCAAAAAAGTTTGCAATTAAGTATTTTTTGAATTGTAGTTGGATTCTTGTCCATTGCTATTCAAATAGAAGTTAGTAAAGAGACTCTCTCACTGTAGCAATAAATACCTAATAAGAGTGTGCCAAATTGTGGTAATCTATAATTGCTTAAAAAATATAATGTAGGGGGCAGCTAGGTGGTGCAGTGGATAGAGCACCAGCCTTGGAGTCAAGAGGACCTGAGTTCAAATTCAGCCTCAGAAACATAACACTTACTAGCTGTGTGACTCTGGACAAGTCACTTAACCCCAATTGCCTCAAGTGCCCCCCCCCAAAGTATAATGTGAAAACCCTCAAAACTCTTTACTAAATGACATGTAGATTGCATTAATTATCAAATTAACATCCCTTTTCTGTGAAAAAATGTGTCAGAAGGAAGTCTAGTAGCTATGCTTCCACTGGCTATATTCCCTATTTATTTTATATTCCCTATATTCCCAATTTTAAAATTTTATTTAAAATTTTATTTTTTACAGTTGGCCGTAAACCAAAGACCCAACAGCCAGCTATTTCCAATGGGTCACCTGAATTAGGCATCAAGAAAAAACCCAGAGAAGGCAAAGGTAACTTGTGTGTGTGTGTGTGTGTGTGTGTGTGTGTGTGTGTGTACGTGTGTGTGTGTGTGTAGAAATTTTGACTGCAGATGTTTGCATAGCATTTTTTTAAAAAAACTACTTAATGCATTGATGCACATGAAATGAATATGTTTTTCTTTGCAGTTATTGTAGACTATATTGCAGCTACTGTTGTTGAAGAAAGTAGCGTGATAACTAAGGCTTTTTTTTTCTCAGTATGTAAATTTTTACTTAGTGGGAGAATTTTATTTAGGCAAACTTAAATTTTCCAGGATATATATCAATTAAAAGGTACCCTGAGATAGTATTGACCTTACTAGATTGTTCTCTTGCTTGGAATACTTTCTTCAAGGTCAGAGTAAAGCATATGGCAAAGTATTGAATAATAGACGTTATTGCAATATTGCTTTTCTGACTCAACTCATTTAGAGATTTCCAGAATCATTCCTCATATTGATTTGTAATCTTATTGGTGTAACTATTTCTACTGCTGCAGATTGCAACCTATCCATGGGTTCTCATTTTATGTGATTTTTGTTTGTAGTGTTCCATAAATGTGCTGTATAGTATTCACCCAGCATCCTCCAGGGCTTTCCTTCAGTGCTTTTAATATTTCCTAGAGTTCACTTTAGGCTATCTGTCCTTCATCTTACACGTTCTCTGTGTAATTGGCCCACTTCTTTTTCCCCTTTTACATTTGGTTGATTGATGTCCTTTATATAATTTCTCATATACAAATCATCATTGATTTAAAAAAAAATACCCCAACAAAAACAAAAACTAAAGTATGATTTAAAAAATTGTCAGCACCACTGTTTTCATAACGTTTAGTAAATGGATGTAATTCATATCCTTTTCATTTGGGGTACAATATTTACTTTCTATTTTACTGAAACAACATATTTGATCCTTGAAATCAGCAAGTTATTTATAGTAATTTGAAAATACTTGAATGGAAATTAGAGAAAATATGTAACCATGTTGAGAAACTGGGCATTTAGTTCAGTAAGTTATTTCTTTCAATAATGGTTGCAGCAAACTCTCAGTTATTTAGAAGCCACCAATCAAGTTTGAGGCTCATCTAGGGAATTTTACTTTTCCTTTTATTTCCTTGCCTGCCTGAAGCCATTTCACCATCCCAAAGTCAGTATCATGAAGGAATAGCATTGAAGCTAATTTCTTTTATACACTATTTATACACTATTTTATTTACACTATACACTATATATACACTATACATTATACACTATTTTATGCACTATTTATACACTATTATTGGGAAGATTCTCATGATAATTCTGAAAGGATAGACATTCAAACAGAGTTAGGGAAAATTTTTAGAAGGTATTTTCATGAGAGTTTTAACTTGCTCCATTCTTGACTGGGGTCCATTCACCTCTTCTTAGAGAGCTGGTGGCCCCCATTGCTCAAGAATTCAACATATTGGTGCTGGACTTAGATTGGACACCTGCTTGGTGTTTTGCAATATAGCTTAGAACTCCCAGTCTCAAGCAATCTACCAGCCTCAAGCTTCTCCAGCAGCAGGGGTTACTGGCAGGGAGAAAATTTTAAATTGAAACTTTGCTTTTTAGAATTAGATATAGTTCTGTTTTCAGACTGGCAGTTGTAACTTGATTTCAGAGCTTTAAAATAAGTTAATTTCCAGAACCTTGAGTTAAAATTAAGTGTTGATTTAATGACAAAATTTATTTTTAAATGCCATTTAGTTGAAAGACAAAAGTTCCTGCCTGCCAACTTCAGGTGGACTGGCTCCACTTTGTAACTAGACCTGTTTGCATATAGGCCTTGATGTATATAAGATGACTCCCTTTGAAATGCCCAGTAGGCGTAACCAAATGTTTTAATTTGGATAATGCTAGATTAGAATTGCTCTTGGCTTTCGATAAGCCCATCTTTGAATTATTTATATTATATTCAAAACAGGTAACTTGTAGGAGTTTTATAGTTCACCTTTTATAGTTAATGTCCTCTGGTGCATACAGGTCAAATCCCATTATAGCACACATCACTATAACAAGAGGGTGTCTAAATTATAACCATTTCAAGTAGTGTGATAGAATTCTAGTGTAAACAGCGAACGTGGACCTCACATGGACCTCTGGGAGCCAGAACAAAATTCATTTTGCATGAGCCCATTGCAAACCTAAAGAAATATAAATTGCTGTCAAGTTATAGAAAGGAATCAGAGAATACCACAAATATTATTTCTTTTTACACATAACAAATTAAAACTATTTTTATGTCATTCTGCTTTTACATCTGCCAGTGACAGCTTTTGAAAATCTTTGTCCTTTGATATTTTATGTTTTCCTTGCTCTGTACTTTTGCCTTTTGTGCTGCTAGCTCAGTCTTGTGGTGAATCTCCTGCTTGAAGCTCACCCAGGCTGATGTAATCTTGTACTATAGCTGATTTATTAGAACCTATGTACTCCTTTGTAACATTTACTGTATCATTACTTATGTTCCACATGTTTGTTATTTTCCCTCTTGTATTTCTAACTTTTTTGGGGGTAAGGGAGCTATTTCTTATTATGGCACTTTAGCATTGCACGTTCCAATCACTTAATATGTGTATGAATTAATGACTAGCAACTTACTGAATATTTGTTGATCTTATAAAAGATCAACTAATTATCTATATTATCTGCAGTTTTTAAAACAGCAAACCAGTGCAAAATTTGAGATTAAAATTAGTTGGACACTTTTAAGCATTTTCCTACTAAAGTTCTAGAATTTTAGGTACTTTAAGAGGAAATGAAGGGTGTGAAAATGAAGGGTGGAAGAGGTGGAATGATACAATTCCACAAGTGTTTTTAAGTGCCCATGATGTATAAGGGGGTGAGCCAGGAGTTCTGGCTTTTGGTCAAACCATTACTTAGGGGGTGTGTGACCTGAGGTAGATCCCTCCCCTTCTTAGCTTATCCATCCACAAAGTGACAGGGCTCAGATGAGGGAATTTTTGCCTTCTCCAAGTTGTTACAATTCCATGAAATATTGTAATTTGTCTTCTGCTTGTTGAAAGAATTTGTAGGTACCATCTGCTTTTTTTTATTGTTTGCGTGCCATGCTCCTCTTGAGGAGCTGTATAACCCTACTCTCCCAGAAGATCTGAAGTGTACTTTGAAGCAGCTTTTTGACAGGCCACTGTTTGTCTTTCCTAAGCCTTCTTTGAATTGATTGGTAGTTAACTGACCAGAGGGAATTGATAAAAATTTTAAAAACACATGTATGAGAAATTTGTTTCACATGAGAAGTAGGCCTTGGTCTTATTTATCCATGTGTGGACATTAAAAGTATGTATCCAATACTTGATGAGTGATCTAAAACTTCTGTAATGCCATTACATGCTTGCTTATCTCTGCAAAATTGAAGCTGGTAGAAGTTAATGTAAGTTTGGATGAGAGTAATTTGGACTTTGGCTTTCCTTGGAGCATGGAATTTAGAGCTGTACAACACTGTAGCCATCCAGTCCAATGTCATTCTACAGATGGGGAAACTAAGTCCCTGATAGTTTTAAGTAACTTGCCCAAGGTCATCCTGGAAGTAAGTAGCAGAACCCAGATTTGAACCCAGGTCACCTGACTTCAGATGCTGTAGGATTTTTTTCTACTGTGTCATGCTACATGAGCCTCACATTTAAGCAAGCCATTATAGACACGCCTCCATTGTGTTGGGAGTTGTGGTAAGTCTACCTTTGTACAGCAAATGGACTTGACTATGTACAGTATTGTGAATTCTAGAGGCAGCATGGTGTAGTAGGGTCAACCTTGAAGAGGAAAAAAAAAAGAACCAAAAAACACCTGGGTTGAATTTCTTACATTAAAATATACTAGCTCTGTGATGATTTAACTTTTCAAGGCCTCAGACAACTTGCTAAAACAAGAAGTTTCAGATATTGCTGATCTGCATCACAAAGTTTCCTAGATTGATGAAATTAAAGGTTTGGGACAAATATAAAATTTTAGACAACATCTGTAATATAGGCTGTGAGACTATAAATGTTTCATAATCGAATTTTACTGTATATGTTCATTCTTTTGTTGCTTAAATACACAAATTAAGTAATAATGTTGCATAGTATTTGACCCTAGTGAGTTACCATTATGATATTCTAAGCATTTTTTATATATATGCCTAAAATGCTTTTATATTTGTTTTTAAAGGTAACACAACATATTTGTGGGAGTTCCTTTTAGATCTCCTTCAGGACAAAAATACCTGTCCTCGATATATTAAGTGGACACAGAGAGAAAAGGGGATATTCAAGCTTGTGGATTCCAAGGCTGTATCCAAGCTCTGGGGAAAGCACAAGAACAAACCGGACATGAACTATGAAACTATGGGAAGGGCCTTGAGGTAAAAAAAAAAACAAAACAAAACCATACAAACATACCCTCTGAACTACCAGACAGAAATGAAAAGAGAAGCAGTGTTCTCTTTGTTCATTAGCTATATAATTTAAAAAAAAAAATTTTTTTAAAATAAAGAAAATCTCAGTAATTGGTGAGTTTCAATCAACAAAATCAAACAAATGTTAATTCGTTTTGGAAAGCATGCTCACTTTTCATGCGGGTGTCTCCTTTTGATATCAGTAATGTTACATTATTGTACGTGTTTTTGGGTGAACTTATGAATTGAGGGTGTAACATTTCCAGGAATGGAAAAACACACAATTGTATATGGTGGTGGTGTTTTTTGTTTTTTTTGTAGATGGTGGTGGTAGTAGGGTGTTTGGGGGTGTATAGTATTGGGGAAATGTATTACTTTTTTTTTAAGTCCTCTTAACAAGTCTTAAGTTCATTTGTTGCTTTAGGAACACCATTTATTTATATGTAACTTGATTTGTTGTCCACAGAATTGTTTTCCATATTACATTTTAAAAATGCTTAACTCAGAACACTGTGACATGTTAAATTGCTAACTGAATTTACTTTTAAATATTTTCTGGACAGTTTGTCCAGAATCAAGTATTTGGAAATGTCCATTTCATTTGAAAAACATGGTAGTTTTTTTTGTTTTTGTTTTTGAGAATAACTTGAAGTATAGAAATGTTCCCTTCCATCTGCTTATCAGCTGGTCTTCTACTGGTCCAGTTGGGATAAGGAGGGCACCAGGGAGAACAGAAAAACTGCTTAGCAGTTAGCTTGTATATGAACAGGAAGGTGTGTGCATATACCATAGATTGTTAATCTTATGGTCTTTTGAGTTCACTCAAAACAGTGTGCAGTCCTGTCTGCTATATTTCACTGCTAATGGGTTGAGTAGATGATTTGTTAGAGCAGTAGGAATTTAATGTATGTACATAGTTTGTGAAAATATGCTTAATACATCCAAGTAGCAAATTTCTAAACACTTTCATCTTCTTTTGTGAATTTCAGTTACAGGGCTAAAAGGAGTGAAGTAATAAATTCTTTCTAACTCTAAGACCTTTAGATTTGTTCTTTTTCTTCTCTGTCCTGAGCCTTTTGAGCAAACAGGGCAATAAGCTCCTTGTTTCTGATCTCTACAGGAATTAATGAATGCTACTGCCAGTATCCACTCCACTCCCAGTCCTTTGAGGCCTAGGCAGGAGGACAGGAACCTACCTATCTACCTACCAACTACTAGATCAAAAGTCAACAAAGTCCACAAGCAAAGAAGGCACTGAATCCTTCTTTCTCTTGTGAAAATGGCAGCAGTCCTGGAGGCAAAAATTCATCTTGCTTTTGCATTTGGGAGTTGTACTGTACTGCTTTTCCTCAATATATAGGAATTGTAATGATTGGATACTGTAGATAATTTTTTAAATAAAAATCTTGCTATTTGAATACTTCAAAACTATGCAATTGCATATTTTTAAAGTAATTTTGGGGAACTAAAGGCCAGCAGTAAATGGATACCTTATCTGGAACATTTTATTTGTAATTTATATAAATTAGAGAATATACAACCATACATTTTTTAGTTTCCCAATTATGGGGAAAAAAATTGTGGGGTGGGGAGTCCTAAGGAGTGAGGAAATTATTTCTCTGCCAAATGACACCTTCCTTGGCCCCCCACCCCCTTTTATTTTCCTGGGCCTTTACACCTATTCAGGATGATATGTGGGGGGAGGAGGGGGAAATCATACAGGCACATAGTGCTCAGGCTGAAATAGTGGAGTTTGAAAGGACCCAAAATGAAAGCAGTTACTGTCTTGGTATAGGAGTGCTTCTGAACAGAATCAGTTTTATAGTGTAATTGATACCAGTGTATAATAAATAAATCTCCTATTTAGTAAAAGCATGAAATGTAAACATAGTTGGATATAACATCTATATTGTATATGTATTAGCACAAAAATGCTACATAAAATATATAACAAAATTGTCTTATTTGGTGTTTATTCTTTCAGATACTACTACCAAAGGGGCATTCTTGCGAAGGTAGAAGGGCAGAGGCTTGTGTATCAATTCAAGGAGATGCCAAAAAATATAGTTGTCATAGATGATGACAAAAGTGACGCTTGTAATGAAGACTTAACGGCAACTACTGATGAAAAATCATTGGAACGTGTTTCATTAACTGCCGAAAACCTCCTGAAAGCAGCAGCTTCTGTACGTGGCAAGAACTCATCTCCTTTAAACTGTACCAGAGCTGAGAAAGCTGTAGCCAGAGTTGTGAACATCACCTCCCCTGGGCATGAGGCTGCTTCCAGATCTCCTTCCACCACCACTTCTGTTTCAGCAACAACTGCCCCAAGGTAAGTGCTGTTATCTTATCTCTCTTGTCACTCTGTTAACCTTGAGAATACCAATCTCACAATGGTTAAAAAAAAAAGTCAGAATTTTTTTATTTAAGTATTCTGAATTTCTCAATGCTATGACTTTGAAAAATACTTTTTAAAAATGTGGTTTTACTTTTAACAGATGTTTCACAGCTAATGTGATTTGATTAATATATCTAACTATTATAATTTTAGCCTACTTTGTTTCTCATGTTCAATATTTAGTAAGAAAGTGGGTTGAAATTTAGGTGGCTGCTTTATGGTTATAGTGTTCACAAGATAAGAGAGAAACCAAAGTTATTTTATTTCAGACTGTAGGAATTACCAGAAAATAAACTTAGGGGATTTGAGGGTACTAGCTTTTTTGTATTTGTACTTATTTTTGCTAGTTCTCCCCCCCCCCCAGACTTGTTATTAAGTTGTTTTTTTGTTTTTTGTTTTTTTTAATTTTTTTATTCAACAGGACAGTTCGTGTGGCAATGCAAGTGCCTGTTGTCATGACCTCTTTGGGACAGAAAATTTCAACAGTGGCAGTTCAGTCAGTCAATGCAGGCTCATCATTAATAACCAGCACCAGCCCCACAACAGCAACCACTCCAAAGGTGGTAATTCAGACAATCCCTACAGTGGTGCCAGCATCTACTGAAAACGGAGACAAAATCACAATGCAGCCTGCCAAAATCATCACCATCCCAGCTACGCAACTCACACAATGTCAATTGCAAACAAAGTCAAGTCTGACTGGATCAGGAAGCATTAATATAGTTGGGACCCCATTGGCTGTAAGAGCACTTACCCCTGTGTCCATAGCCCATGGGACACCTGTAATGAGACTCTCAGTGCCTGCACAACAGGCATCTGGCCACACGCCCCCTCGAGTCATCAGTGCGGTGATAAAAGGGCCAGAGGTTAAGTCAGATGCAGTGGTTGTAAAGCAGGAGCCTGAAGTGAAGACTTTGCAGCTGGTACAGGAAGAGAAGCCAGCAGATGGAAGCAAGGCTGTGACCCATGTGGTAGTGGTCAGTGCTCCTTCCACCATTGCTCTTCCACTAACAGTGAGACCAGAAGGCACGGTGACATGTGAGAAGTGAGGCAGCTCCTGACTGCCTGGCTGATGAAACACGGAGAGGGGACGGGACATCATCAAGAATGTTTATGGAGACTTTGCAACTTTTTAATGCAATCAAAGACTTACTGGAAATAAATTACCTTTATCCCATGTTTAAGTGGGACATAAACTACACATTGAGATGCTGACAGAAAACTGCCTCTTACAATAACATATAAATATGAAAAAGGGACCAAGCAGTTCACTACATTATCAAGTTACACTAAGACTTGGAACACTAAAATAATTCTGTAAGAGGTGATCTTTTAGGTTAGGGGAGGGAGATAGGGAAGGATGGTCTCATTGTTACAAATAGCAAATTTTGATGCATTTTTTTAATGCATACCAGCAATTAATACTGTGTGAACACAGTACTCACTTAACTGGTGCTATGTGAAGACTCTGCTAATATAGGTATTTTAGAATGTGAATTGAAGAATGGATCCAAAAGCCTCTGAAAGAGAACAACGGAGAAAAAGAGAGACCTAGTGGAATTTTTGTATCATATAGCTTAAGCTGATTTAAAACAAAAGCCTTAGACTGATTTTCAGTTTTTCTTTCTTGAAATAAGCTAATGGCTTGTTTGTGTAAAGCTTTTTTTATTAAAAGAAAAATTTTAAAAATCTTGTACCTAGCACAGTATTGTTATAGACTTTACATGTAACATGTTTTGTATGGTAGTTTTAAGTCTGTCGCTTTCTTAATTGTGGACATAGTAGCAGCTGGCTTTGGCCTTTGCTGACACATGCCTGTGCCACTCACTCAGCCTTGGCATCTGTGCATACATTTCAGTCTCAGCTCTACTCTTTCACTAGAAAGTTCACGCTCGGCATGAATTTTTGTCAGGTAGTTTTAAACCTGTATTTCTTTCTTTTCTTTTTTCTTTTTTTAGTTCAACTTAAAGGAGGGAAAGTACCAGTGTTCAAAATTGAACTATAATAGTTTGTATATTCAACATTTGAAGTATATTATATTTTGTTGTACTCTTGTTTCAAAGTGTATTCACGTAGGTTTTACTGAAATATAGAAATGAAATTTATTTTGTGCTTTGTTTGGTCTCTGGCGATATTTTCGATGTTTAGAGGTAATGGAAACAAAGTAATTATGGTTACTGTGGCATCTGCTTTATGATGTACCTTGTTAAAAAACTTTGATTAGCAGATAATAGAAGCAAGTTTAAGAAAAACTCTGACATCTGTAATAGAAATCCTTGGTCTTACCTGGAGATTTTGCCTCCATTTCTATTAGCTATGAATTCAGCAGGTATCAGCTATGCTTTTGCCATTCCATTTCTTTATGATCTTAATGTTAATGAAGTTTGAATTCCAGTGTTTTAAAAATGACAACACATCATATTAAAGGTGGTTGATTTAAGTTAAAAACAAAAAACAAAAAAGGAAAATGATTAGTTCCAAATCTATTGAAAAGTGGTTATATGTGCTGATATAGAGATGTTTTAAACTTTCCTAATTATGCATTTGCTCAAAAACTACTCCATACTGTTAGAATGAGTTAATCTATCTGCCTTTACGATTTGTTGTCGTTTAAGCAAAGATAGCAGTGATGTGACTATCAAAAGATACTAAGACACCTGGGTCTGTTTTAATTCCATTCTGGGAGTTAAAAGAGGGAAGGAAGAATTCACAGGTTTAATAAGCTATTGATAGTACTATTTCTTTGTATAAATCTCTTACACATGTGTGGTACTTTACAGTGTATAACAGCATGGTTTTTACATACATTATCTCATTTGATCTTCACGATAACCAAGTGAGGTAGGCAGGATATGTATTGTAATCTATAGTTAGGCTTTGGAAGTTTAACACAGAGTCACAACTCGAGCTTCTGATTTCTATTCCAGTGTTTTTTAAAAAGACTAATAAAATTAGAAGCATAACTTCAGCATTAAGATGCCATATTAGCATAGGAAATAAAAAATGAAGTTCTAAACCTTCAATGAAGCCAGAATCCAGATGCCCACATTGTCCTTCCTGTTTTCATTGTGGGTTAAGTTTGGATGATCACTTTGCAAAATGGGATTTCAACCGGAAAAAAAAAAAAATTAGGGAATGTATCTATCGAGAGAGAGAGAGAGATGTAAAATTGATAGTGTTGCTAAAGAAGTGGTAAAGATGCTAAGCAGGTATTGGTATTCCTCTAGAATTAGTTACAACCATTGGCTGTTTTCTTTCCCATCTTCAACACTGTCTCTAGTACGTTGTTTACTCTAGAGACATAAAACAAGACTAAAGATTGGCATACCTAAGGGAAGCCATCCAGGCCAACATCAATCTCCAGTGAGATATTGGTTACTTATACTTATTTCTAACCATATTATTTAGAACACAATTCAGCAGAACCACTGTCATTGTTGTGCTCGCAATACAAACTGCATTTTACAAATAGGAATTTTTAGCACTTAGGAAGGGTGAGTGTTAGGATTATGTGAGATTCTAACTGGAACCAATTAAAGGACAGAATTGAAATAAGGACATTTGCATATGGTAGAAATAAAATTTCCTAGTTCCCAGTATCTTAACGTGAAAAAAATCCTTGGCAGATATGATTATCAACATATCAGTATTTCAGTGCCTACAGAGCCCACCATGGTGCATATAAGTACAAGAATATTTCTTGTCCTCAAGGACCTTACAATATACTTTGGGAGATGTGATGAACAACTGAAATGGTGTGAGAAGTTTGGAGACAGGGAGAACTGTGAAGGCTGGAAGGACAAAGGCTTCATAAAAGAAATGGGGCTCAAGTCTTTGAAGATAGGATTTACCTGGGTAAGAAGGGAGATGAGGTCAGTTAAATTTAAAAAGAAACATTACCAGGTACCTACTCTGTATATAAACTGCTTCTCTGCTAGTACTTAGTAAGATAATACTTCAAGGGCTAGTAAAGTAACGGGATATGACATGTGACATTAAATGAAATAATATAAGCCTAAGAAATGAGCAAGCAAAATACTATGTTAGGTCAAAAGGGGGAAAGGCCATTACAGATTTCTCAAGGCAGGTTCCTTAAAGGATGGGTAGAAATTTCTTTGTGGGGAGAGGCAGCAGGGGTGCACTCTAGGCATTGGGACCATCATGAGCACAGAGAAAGGAAGGGAAAGTAGTAGTATCCCACAAAAGGCAGTTGACAGAAAAGATGGAATCACAGAGGCAGGAATCAGCATAATGTGTTCAAAGCATTAGAAGCTCAGCCTGTGACTGAAAGGGAGTGAATATTCAAGGGAGTAGGAAATGTGCTTAGGATGGTTAGGGTGAGCCCAGATTGGTAAATGCTTTTAGGTAGTGCCAAAAAAAACATTGGAAATAGGCCTAGAATCAAATCACTTAGAAGCTGTGTGACTTAAGGCAAAGTTTAGCCTCCCTGAATCTGTTTTCTCACAAAGTGGTTGTAGATCAAATGTGACTCTACATTAAAGGAATTTTGTTAACTATAAAGCACTGTGTATGTGTAAGTTTTAATTTTTATTGTGGAAGGTATTTGGTGAATCAGTTGATTAGGCAGGGTAAGAAATGACTTGTTGCAGGTTTTCTGAGCAGTCGATGACATGACATGTTTTAAGAAGGTTAATCTGATGATGTCTTGCCCAAATGGGGTGAGAATACATGAGGGGATAGGTGTAACTGAGTGTGGGGGTAATCCAGCTGTGATGTAAGGCTAAGAATGGAAAAAAATTAAACTCAACCAGACGAGGTAACTGGTTATGAGAAGAGGGAGAAGGACAATTTCTTTCAAGGTTTTAAACCTCAATTATAGGCAAGTTGGGAATAGAAAATGATCTTTAAGGAGAGTACATATTTGGTTTTAGGTATTTGGTGTTTGAGATGAAAATGAAGCATCAACTAGAATGCTTAGTATAGGCTGTTGGACATTTGGGACAAATAGTTTTGATGAGAGGGTAGCCATAGAGATAGAGGGGAGTCAGCAGTGAGGTCCTGGACAATGGACAGGCTCTGTGAAAGTTTGTGTAAAGAGAGAAAAGCAGAAAACCAGAGGGTGACAGAGTTTTTGTAAATATCTATAATCTGGAGTGGAAGAAGTAAGAGGTAGTTGGAAGTAGGAAAACCAGGGTAAAATGAAAGGAATGTGTCAAGAATCACAAGATTTTAGAAGCACCTCAGATCATCTAAACCAATTCATAACTAAATGGAAGTCCCTGCTACATTTCCAATAAACTTCCACTTGAAAAACTCACTACGCCTGTTCCAGCTTCTAGGAAGTTCTCTCTCAGGTGACATCTTCCTCTTTGCACCTCCTCTTCCTCCTAGTCCTGCTCTCTGGGGTCAAACAGAACAAGTCTAAGCCTCCTTAATAGTCTTCATGTCATCCCCAGGGAACAAAAAAATAACAAAACAATTCCTTCAGCTGATAAATGATTTCCAGTCCATCATTTTGAATGTCACTTAAGCTCCTGTTTGCCAAAGTCCCTAAAATGCCACCCAGCCAGAACCGAAGACATAACTTTAGATGTGGTGTGACCAGGACAATGGGATTACCACCTCCATTACTCTAGACACTATGCCTCTCAGATCTGTTAGTCACTAAATAAAATGGCTTTTTCTGAGTTTCCCACTCTCTCTGAACTGCAATTGACCATTCCACCAAGCAGCTCCTCTCTTAGCTTCAGCCTCAATACTACTGGCTCTCCTGACTTTTCCTCCTGTATTAGTGACTCTTCTCTCCACACTACTGTAAACATTTGCAAAGGTTCTGCCCTATCAGTTATCTTTATATCTTTCCATGACAGCTCCTTTCACTTCCATAGTTTCCCCCTATAACCTTAATTTGGATGATTCAAGTCTGTATGTCCACCCCACACCTCTTCCCTGACCTTTTATAATAACATTTCCAATCATCTGCTAAACATTTTCACTTGAATTTCCTTTTGGCACTTCAAGTTCAAAATATCCTAAACTGAACTCACCAAGATAGTGATCAAATGCAGAACAGGGATGGAGGAAAATGAGGATGGACTTGGATTTTCCAGGTCTAGTTCAATAGAGAAGATGAAAGCCAGATTCCAAGGTATTTTACATATAGTGAGTGGGTTACAGTACTTAAAATAAATATCCAACCATCAAATATGGGTAACTTGATCAGGAAGAGTACATAGAGATCAAAAGTTGCAGCCAACCGTACAGCTTATATACCAAAACTGTCTTGATTTGACCTTTTTTTTACATTAAAGCTACTAAGTTTATGCTGAAACAATAGCATTATTAATGCTACCTATAATGTTAGTAGTTTATTTCCTTAAACCCAGATGAGTCAATTATAGAGGCTTCCTAAACGTTGATATAGTCTTAGCCCTGCCACTAGTTTGTAGTGTGACCTTCAAGTCACCTCACACCCCAAAGGTTCATTTTTTTAAATGTATGAAATGAAGGTGTTAGTGTACAAATCATTTCATCCCAGTCTTCATGATCTATGGTTCTGCGATACAGCATAATAGATAGGGAGGGGCTGAACTTGGGAATAGGAATACCAGAATTAAAACTCTGTTTTTTGCTAGGCAATGGAGTTAAGTGACTTGCCCAAGGTCACGCAGCTAGTAATTGTCATTTGTCTGAGAGCAGATTTGAACTTGGGTCCTCCTTAATCCAGGGCTGGTGCTGTATCCATTGCGCCACCTACTTGCCCCCTTAAAACTCTATTTTTAACACTTGTTACTTATTGAACCTGGGTAATGTCACCTGACCCATGTTTCTCCAACAACTCCCCTGGACTTCCTTAAGTAAGGCTATGATTGCCTAGGTGGAAAAAAGATTTATATGTGAGTAGTTCTGCATGCTAATCCAAAATAAAGTGACTGATTTTAAAAAAAAGCCATCAATACACTAAAATTTATAGACACATGAATGTCAATCCAAAGTAGTCATAGGAAGCTATACTTATTCCATTATTCCTAAAACTTTTCAGATTTAAAAAATTATATATTTCTAAATATCTTGGAATTATTCCAAAAATTCTTGCAATAATAATTTAAAGAGCTTGGGGCACATCCTTTTGAATATCTTTGGCAAAATTTAACCTTAAATAACTTTTTAAAAAATTCCATTTTATTTTCAGTTCTGACTTCTCTCCTTTCATCTTCCCTCACCCTCACCTATTAAGAAAGCAAGAAAAAAAAACAAAAAACCTGTTATGTCTTAAATAATTTTTGACTTAATTTCCCCCCTGTCCTCAAAAAAAAAAATTCTTAAAGGACACAGCCTGAAGAATAGTCTCATTCATTTTCAGCATCACATCAAAAAGGAGCACCAGTAAGATGCCCTGGTAGTACAAAGAGTTTTGGGTTTGGAGTCAGGGAGATCTGTATTCCAATCAAACTTGATACTATGTTTTGATAGGCAAGTCATTCAACCTCTCTGGGCCTGATTTTTAATCTACAAAAATTAGAATAATTATACCCATAGGACCTACTTGACAGGGTTGGTTGTTAGGATCAAATGAGATAAATTTAATTTGTTACCCATGCCTAGAACTCTCTCCTCACTTTCATCTCATGGAATCCCTAGCACCCCTTGATCCTCCAACTCCACCCTGGTTAGTTTGGCTCAGTTTTGATTGCATAGCATCCCCTCCCCCAGAAACTGCTTTGTATTTACTGTGTATATTTTGTGTTTATCATGTACAGTATATGCTATTTCCCCCCAGGAGAATGTAAGCTCTTTTGATGGAAGGGACTTGTGTCCCTTTTATCTTTGTTTGTACTTGCATAGTACTTGATACGTATTAGGTGCTTAATAAATGCTTATTGAATTGAATAAAGTGGGTGATTGAGCTTGATAATATTGTTTGAGGTCAAATGCTCATCGAAGTTAGGTCTAAGAGATATTAAAATGTTTTTAAAAATGGCAACATTTATGGTTAAGTACATTGCCTTCTGAAGTGAAGGCTTTGAAGGTTGATTTGTACACTCCAGAGTTGGAAAGGCCATAGAGATCACCTAGTCCACAGGTTTTTAACCTGGAATCCACAGATTTGGGGAGGGGATCCTTTGGACTTGAATGTAAAAAGAAAAAATCTTTTTCATTCATCTTTGGTTTCCTTTGTAATCCTATGCATTTTATTTTGTACCTTTAAAAATATTATGGGAGGGGGGTTCATAGGCTTCCTAAGGGGTCAGTGACAAAAAAAGGTTAAGAACCCCTACACTCTTGTCTAATCCCTCATTTTATGGATTAAGAGCTTGTCTTAATGCTTGCTCTTAGGAAAACTTGCTTTTCTTCATAAGTGCCTATCAGTAAACTAAATTGAGATCTTTGTTAGAAATTAACATCATATTTACTTGATGTTTAAAAAAAAAAAAGTTGTTTATACTTTCCAGGATCTATTTTCCCTTGGAAAATCAGACAGTTGTCTTGTTTCCAGTTTTCAGGTATCTGTCCTGTTTTTCATTTTTTAAAGATGACTGACATTCTCTTCAATCATATCTGCCAGGTCTCCCAAAGCCCAGGGATTTAATTTGTCCCAGTCTAAGGACTTTAAGTCAACAAGTATTTGTTGACCCACACTCATTCGAAGCAGCTGAGTGCACTTTGTCTCTCTCTTTTGCTGACTTTAATTCTTTCTCAACCATGTTTGTATTTGTTTTTTTCACTTTTCATTGTAAAGATTTTTCACTAATGAACACAGAAGTGTTAATTTTAACTACATCTAGTTAAAATTACAGTTCTGGGTCTATCTGGCCCCCACTTCCCTTTCAGTTACTAAAAACCCTCTATCTCTTTGCTAACCTCAGTTCAGACTGGCATTTAGCCTACTTGACCCCATTCCTAGATTCCTGCCCCTCATGGCTCTTTATAGCTTTTGTACATTTGTATAAATGTCCTTTGAATATTTCAACCACAGAATCTTTGTGTAAACCCTGCTGCCTTCTTTTGTCTGATTGGCTATTCAATTGTTACTGGTTCTTACAAAGAAAAAGAGTTTCAGTGTTTGGGGTGCTCTTGTGCTGCATTTCCTTTTGGTAGGTGGCATTGGCTTAATTGAAGTCCAATTTTTCCTCTCTCAATTTTAAAACATCTCCTTCTTGAAGTCTGCATTACATGCTTAAGCCCAGTTGCCTCTCATTCAAATCTCACAAGCTCTAAAATGACAGCCATTTTTTAGGTCCCTTTTATATTTCCACATTGTCAACTAGTTTTTTTTCCCCCTACTAGTTAGAATAGCACTTCCTCTCATTGCTTCTTCTGCCTTCTTAAACTACCATGAAATCAAAGTCCGATGCTCAACGTTTCATAGCAGAAAGATTTCCAGCAGATGTCCTCCCCACAACTACTCCATCTTATCAATTTTCTAATCTACTCTCATCAAGAAAGCGTCCTATATATCTCTTCCACAATACTACTTAATTCTTTCTCTTTTGATTCCTGTGATTGTTAGTGATCTCTGCTACCAGGTAGAATGTTTTAATGTTGTGTGCTGGATAGTGATAGATTAGAAGAGAAAATGTTAATAATATCCATATCTACTTATTCCTAAGACCTGTGGGAATGACACATTTGAGACTACCAGGGCAAGAGGCACACAAGATGGAAAGAGAAAGGAAAGGACCAGTATAGAGCCTAGGGTACTTGACAGCTGGATGATCCATAGTTACTATTAAACAAGGTTGTTTAAGAAGAGTTCAAGTTGGTCCTACATTTGTATAGAACATTTCCACACTGCTTTCATATAATTCTTATTTGATTTAAAAGCAGTTCCCAAGGTGATACTTTTGATTGGGTAGAACTGATTTGGAAGGGTATTTTATAATTTTATAATTACCTCTTCCAGTGTGCCACACTAGAACTTATATTGGGTTATTTCCCCCGTTGAATAAGAAGATGGCTACTGTACCACATTTTGGTGGTAAGCACATAAGATTCTAACTGCAAACATTTTAGGTCTTACAACAATAATAAACATTTACATAGCACTTCACATGTTATCTCTTTTGAACAACTCTATGAAGTAAATGTTATTGTTAATGCCATTCTATAGATGAAGAAGAAATCTATAGATATAGAAGAAATTGAGGCTGAGGGCAGTTAAGTGACTGCTAGTGTATAAGCCAGGATTTGAACCCAGGTCTTCACTTCTTATATAGGACACTATCCACTTTACCCCATTGCCTTACTATATACACTATCAGAGTTATGTTTATTTTAGGTTATTCTCTAACTTTTCCTCCAAATCACATCAATTCTTCAGCTTGATAGCATTATAGATTTTTGAGCTGGAAGGCATTGCAAAGACCCTCAGGTCCAAACCTTTCATTTTTACAGATGGATAAACTGAGGCCCAGTGAGGTTATACAGGTGATTGGTTAAGTATCAAAGACAGAATCTGAACCCAAGTCATCTGAGTTGGACTCAACTTCAGAAGCATTGTGGTAGAGCAGAGATGGTTAGTTGTGATTTGAGTTCAGAGCCTAGTGCTATAACATGCTACTATCTGTGTGACCTTTGTTGGCTTCAGTTTTACTGCTTGTAAATGAGGGAGATGGTTTAGATGTTTAGGAACCTCTTCCAATTAAAAATCTATGATCCTATGACCTCAACTTTATTCTGACCCTTCCTCTGAATCACACTGTCTTCAAACATCATTTTTAATACCCATATTAATATAGCCACACCAATCTGTTTTCTTGGTTCCATGGTGATAACTGTAGGTATGACTTCTCCTCCTCTTAAATTTGTGTTTTCATGTGTTATAATCTATAGATAACCCCAGTCCTATTCTGAACATTTAGATTGTATAAATAAGGACCCACTTAAGCCAAATGTAACAACACAGACTTGCCCATTTTGGGACATTTTCTCATTGTGAAGGTAACCAAGTCAGCAACTATGAGGAAGACACACAGGGCAATCACCTACCTTACTCATTTTAAAGTATGTTTTGTGTGTTACTGGACAATTAATATTTCTGGTGTAGAAAACTGGACCATAAATAAGCCAGTTTGCTTGAGATAGCTGTTTTTAAGACTAAAAAAGACTAAGATTTCAGGAGCAGCTCAGCTTTTAAAAATTTTTTTTATTAAATAACTTGGAACATTTATACAATTCATAGTTTAACAAGTGGTTGGTCATTTTTTGTTATTTGGGTAGGATTTTTTGGGCAACATGTTAATTTTGACCAACTCTTATCTCCAGTGCAGAGGTCCAGGTCTTCTTTCTAGTCAAACCACAAATTTCAGTGTGGGCCCTAGGTGGCTGTCCATCTTTTTACAGCCTAAAACCTCATAGACCTTCCAATTTCCAAACAGAGAAAGGACCCCCTCATTTTCTCAGGCATCACACTAGAACAGCTCCTGAAACAAAACAAACCGACAAAACCCTTTTCTTGAAAAATTCCAGTGTCACTTACTTATAAAACAGAATTAGGTCAAATGAATTAAGAGAGAGGACTAGGTCACCCCAATAAATTGGTAGATAAGTAAAAAACGCTTAAAGTAGTGGTTAAGTTATTTGGATCAACTCACAGCTTTGCATGAAACATACACATAAATAGAAAGGATGTGGATATATGTAGTTCCTGGGTGGGATGAGTTGGAAGGACACAGCAGAAAGACATTGCCTCCTATGAATACAGAGGAAGAAAGGGAAGAGGCCCCCCCCATGTGATATGGCTCTTCCACTTGAAAACAAAGACAACCCTTGGGCAAATGTTGTTTTCTAAACCTGTTGTACCACCACTGTTCTATCAGACAAACTAAATGCAAAAATGTTTAAATCTATCTTAAGGAGAATGCCATGAAACCTTCACTGGCTTCATAACATCCTCTATGGTTCTCACATTCTAAGTCTCTAAACATTTGCTTATGTCATTTACAATGCAATGTTAAAAAAAAATAAATAATGTGGCCATGCACAGTCCTTTCCCGTTAATGTCTTTTTAAATGCCATAAATAAATAAAAATAGTATTTATATGTACACCCAACCTCAGTTACAGAGGATTCAATCAAACAAGTCCACATTGGCACCAAGTCCTCAAGAAAGAAAAAGGTTCCAAATAAATGACATGGTTCCCTTACTTCATCAAAAGCCAATACTGAGGGGAGAGAAAACACCACAAGCCAAAACTGGGGTGCACACACCTTTTTTTTTATGGAGATTTTAATCAAAAAGTTGTGAAATTGTGTTCCCCACCCTCCAAAGGCTCTGCCAGAAAAGAAGGCTGAGAGATAGTGAATCCTCTCTCAAGCAACCTCTTATTTCCATTTTCCTAGTTAAGACTTTTGTGATAGAAATGTAGCTCCAGACAAGCTACAAAAGCCGGTCCTGGTCTTCATTAAAGCTGAAGTCACACACTAGAGACAGGTGGTCAGAAGGGTAATTGAAGGATGGTAGCCGGTTGGGTCCAATCTGTTCCTCAGTGAGTAAGCCAAGAGCTGACTGCACATTTAAAGCATGCTTGGAGTACCAGATATAATCCAGTGTGTGCCGGCACTCCCCAGATGTCCGGATCTTCCAGGTCGTATATGGTGGTTCAGACTGTCCATCTGCACTCAGCAGTTTATAGGCACTGTTTAGGTTTAGGCTAGAGGAGGCAAAGTGTTTGTAGACTTCCTCTGTGGGCTCTGCGTTAAAGTCCCCACAGACAATAAGTGGGATCTTGGCTCCCTGGGTAATGTTCTGCAGGTTCTGGAGGAGGTCACAGCCTTGTGCAGACCGAAATCGCTCCCAGCCAGTACGTGCTTTCAGGTGGGTGACAGCAATGCAGAACAGTCTCCCTGTCTCCTTGCACTCCAGTGTCTGTGCTATGGCCACCTGGTTGGTTTTAAGAGTCATGGCAGTCAACCTGATGTTGGTGCTGTTGACCAGCTTGAATCTGTTCTGAAGGAAAAACAAAGCACAGCCATCGGGACCATTGTTGTGTTCCACATCCAGACAGGGTGACCATGGCTTTGGAAAGAAGGTACCCTGGTAGCCCAATCTACTGAGGAGCGGCTGGAAAGTGTCAAAGTAGTGGTCCACCTCTTGCAGGCACAGGATGTCTGGCTGGTAGGCCAGGATCTCTTCTAGGATGAGACATTTTCTTTCTTCCCACTTGAGTGCCTCAACAGGGCACTGTACAAAGTTATCTTTGCCTTCCCCAAGAGCTGAAACAGAGAAGTCAGTCAGCTATCAGCTACAGGAACAGAGGCTTCTATGGACTCTAGAGTTTCCTTCTCTAACGAGGCCAAAAGACCAGTGGCCTACCTTGGCCATCCTTGCGCTATTAAGTGATAGATATGCTGTGTGGCTAAGAGATGCTATGGTCTCTGGAACAGGCATGGTGGGTGTGAGTAAGCAAATGAGGAATTATAGGGAAAACCTGTAATAGAAGATGTCATCATAGATATGGATGAGTGAAAAAGAATATGGGCTGGTCACATGTATGGCAAGAGAATTGATGGACCAGTTCTACTGCTACCCTTGTGTTGTCAAGAGAGGGTGAGAAAGGCATCTACCCAGCATGGTGGATGGATCATCTGTGATCAACTTATGAGAGGTCATGGACAAGAGTCATGATGAGAAAGCATAAACAGGTTACAATCTGCATCATTGGAGAGAGTACATCTGTTGGAATATTTGAGTACTTTGGGTGGTCCCTCTCCATAAGCTTTAGGTAACTTCTTCCAAATGAGAATGGGGTAATTATTTTCTTTCACATGGTGAATGAGTATTGGGTAAAATCAAGGAGATTGTGCTTTTGTAACCAAATTGTGTTTTCTCAACCCTCACATGCTATGTCACCTCAAAAGCCATTTGCCTTACAGAATTCTACATTTTGTCAAATGGATTTGCCTATTTAGTGACAACTGGATCAAACTGTCAAGATTTTCCCCTTCCTAGCCCAAAGGCTGGTTTATTTTCAAGGCAAATTTGATTTCTTATTCTAACCACTAATTTTCATGACAACATTATAAATTTATATGCATATAAATTTATCTATGGCAAGTATACATTTTAATACTTGAGTGCACCTCTGATCTAAGTGATGTGTATTTTCCTTCTAGTGATATAGATCTCCACCCACGGAGGTCTTATTCTATGCAGCCCTCACCCATTTCCTCCCATTAATTCACCACAAAGTGTCTGTGCCAGGGGTCTTCCTCTTGTCTTTGCATGGACACCAGTGAAGGGCACACAGGCTATCTCTTGCTCTCACTGCATAGCCAGTTTATATTTCTTTCCTAGTCCCCTATTTCTCCAACATCTTTTATACCACTTCTCTCTATGTTAGTTTCTGTATGTATACACATAACTAAATAGATGTGAATGTATTGTGTGTGTGTATATATACACACAAACATTTATATATAAATATACTTATATATGTACACATACACACAGACATATATATTTTTAATCTGGAAAAAGGTTCCTTCTTACATAATAATGCAGTGTCCTAAAGGCAGACAAATAAGAGCTATTATATCTTTGATAATAAACTTTTTTGCCTTTCTTTAAAATAAATAATAATAGCCCCTTATTAATACAACCTTTCCAAGAAGTGTGCCTTCCATTTGCTTTATTCCAATCACTTATTTGCATGGCAACACTGTAAACTTATATACATGTAAAATTTTATCTGTGGCACACATACATACATTCTAATACTTCAGTGCATCTATGATCTTGGCATTGTAAATTAGCTGGTAGAGAGATGTGACAAGCAAGGGGTAGGAACGCTAAGATTCCCGCCCCTCCCTGTACTACAGAAGCCTGCCTCATTTGTCTTCAATGGCCTAAGCACAGTACTTGCTAGGAAGCAACCCTGGTTATTAGGGGAAGGAAAGAAGGTGAAGGCAGGGGCAACATGGGTGGATCCTCTCCTAAGGTCCTTCCTTTAAATTCTTTCGTCTAGGTCTTAGGATATAATAAATAGCCTTTTACTCTATCTGTATAATTCACCAATGGCCTTGAGGTGGTTCTTTAAACTAGATTTAAATATATTAAACAAGATTTAATATATATTTTTAAAAATCACATCTGGTACATGTGCATGTGTTGGTGGGAGGAGGAATGGATGGATGGTATACAATTCAACAAACATGTACCACTCCTTGGCATAGTAAGCTAAGCTGTACTGGGGGCAGTAGTTACTGAACATACCTTGAGCAAGGATGTTCCACTGCATGACCCTAATGGGTAGGTGGCTACTTGATGAGTCCGTCCTCAAGTCCACAAAATCCCTCTGGAACCGGGGAGGCCGTGTGTGCAGGACAGCCCTGCATTCCTCAAGCAGCTCTTTGGGGTCTATGGGATCCAGCTGTCCTGAGTCAGGCGGCACCACACACTCTGGGTGCTGGGTGGCTGCAGAGCCGTTCAGGGTCTTGGCGATAGCACCATAGAGCCTGCTCGTTCCGTTTCCCATGGGATACGCTACAGGAAAGGAAAGCACAGTTATACACAGGGCTCCTTAGCTTGCCCTTTTTTCTCCTGCAAACCCATCCCAGTTAGTGTCAGAGAGACCTTTGACTGCCCTCACAGCACAGAAGCTGATGCATGGCCAAAGCCGCCATCCTCACTGACAAAAGTCTATTTTTCTAGGAGCAGGATTTTCTGGGTTGGGAAGGGAGGGGTTAGTCTAAAGCCATAAAGGCTAATTTATACTCTTTAAATGAACTTTTGGATGAAGTAATTATTCTTATAAAACCAAGGGGTTTAAGTAATTTACTGATCCCAATTACAGCAGGTATATGTGTATGTGTGTGTAAAATCAATCAATAAACCTTTATTAAACACTTACTATGTGCAAAGCACTATGCTAAGCACTGGGATACAAAAAGAGGCAAAAGACAGTCTGCCCTCAAGGAACTTACAATCTAATGGAGAAGACAATAAGAAACAAATATATACAAAGCAAGGCATATATAGGATTAATATGAAATATTACAGAGGGAAGGCACTGGAATTACGAGGGGTTAGGGAAGGCTTCCTGAAGAAAGTGAGATTTAAGTCCCAAGACTTAAAGGAAACCAGGGAGGTCAGTATTCAGAGCAGAGGAGTGGGAGCATTCCAGGCATGGAGGACAGCCAGATTAGATGTCCAGAGCCTATACTATATAAGTTTGTGCGTTTATGTGTGTATTTATATACATGTATATAAACTTCAGTGCTGTCATGCAAATACATGTGTTTAGAATAAAAAATAAGATTATAAGGCAACTAGTATAGTAGACAGAGAACTGAACTTGGAGCCAGGAAGTCTTGGATGGGATCAAATCCCATTTTAGACCCTTAATAACAGGTAAGGGCCAGTCTCTTAACTTCTCTAAGCCTAGGTTTTGCTTCTATAAAATAGGTACATGAGGAGCAGCTAGGTGGCATAGTAGATAGAGCACTAGCCCTGAAGTCAGAAAGACCTGAGTTCAAATATGGCCTCAGATACATAACATTCACTAGCTTTGTGACCCTGGGCAAGTCACTTAACCTCAATTGCCTCACAAAAATAAAATAAAATAGGCACATATCACTGGCATACTGTAAGGATCAAAAGATAAAAATCTATAGAAAGAATTTTGCAAGTTTTAAAGGCCTATATAAATGGGCTCTTATTAGCAGCAGTATCTGTTAAGCTCCTACCACTAATTTAAAAACGGAAGTATCTGCATTTAAACCAATTTGTCATTGTCTAGTCATTTCAGTCGTGTCCAACTCTTCATGACCCCATTTGGGTTTTTTTTTTGGCAAAGATACTGGAGTGCTTTGCCATTTCCTTCTGTGGCTCATTTTACAGATGAGGAAACTGAGACAAACAGGGTTAAGTGACTTGCCCAGGGTCACACAACTAGTATCTGAGGCTAGATTTGAACTCATGTCCTAAGACTCCAGCCCCTAGCTGCCCCATTTAAATTTATGGGGATCTTCTAATCTAGGATGACTTCATAATTCTCTGTGGCTCATTCTCACCTAAGCAAGAATTAACTTAGAAACACATAACTTAGAAAAAACTAAAAACTTAAATTATTAATAGTCAGTTTTTTTTTTAAACCCCACACTGAAATTAAAGAAGAGCTTAGGCTACTTTTTTCAAGCAATGTGGTCCTTATGAACTCTACTCCTATGATAATAACTTGACATGTATGTAGCACTTTAAATTTTGCAAATTATTTTATATACATCATCTAATTGGTCCTCATAACTTCATGAAATAGGTGCTGTTATTATCCCTGTTTTATAGATGCGTAAACTGAGGTGCAGTGAGAGGTTGAATGTCCTGCCCAGAGAAACAACACATAGTATATGAACCAGGATTTGAACCCAAATCTTTCTGGGTCCAAATCCAGTGCTTTATTCATGGCCCCTAAGTACGGCTACCAGATTCAATCCCGTCATTTCTTGGGTGACTACACTTTAGCTCCCTGAGGAATGCTATCTAGCATTAGTAACTACTTCCTGGGACTCTTGAGGGAGTTCTTATTACAAAGTCCAAGTAAGATATGTGTATGTGTGTGTGTGTGTGTGTGTGTGTGTATACACATATATGTACAGGGTGCACACACAATGTTCCAAAAGTCTTAGGGCAATTTAAAGCTTTAATAACTTCAGAAGTAAATACTAAAAACTTACATCGGAAAGGTTAATTATATAAAACTTTAATGTTTCTTATTAAAATCCAACATAATCGCCATCTTGTGCTATCCACCATTTTAGCTGATTTTTGAATATTCTAACAACGTTCATAAGCTGCTGCTCTGACTTAAAGGATTGCAATTGTAATCTGAACCTTAAGGTCATCCAACGACTCGGGTCTGGATGCATGCATAACAGTTCTGACTTAATCCCATAGGAAAAATCCACTGGAGATAGATCTAGTGACCAAGGTTGCTGAGAAACAGGACGTCCTTAGTGACCCATTGGCCAGAGAAAAGAGTCATCAAAAACCGCTCCCTATGTAATGCATAATGACAGGGGTGCCACCTCATCTTGATAAAATGAAACAAATGGAAAACTTATTTAAAATTCACAAAATGAATGACTGTATAACAAATTTAAATAATAATATGGTTTTGGTGTTGTTATTGCAAATTTGTAGCATTTATAATTTTGAAGTTATTACAGTAGCTTAAAACTGTGCAAAGACCTTTGGGATACATTGTATATGACATATAGCTTGTGACACAGTTGGTGACGGTTCTGTTCCTCAGTCTGTCCAGTTCCTCCTTTTCTCCTTCCAAAGCTCTACTTGTATTTTTAGAGAGGGCATAGGATTGGGGCATGGTGTGATGGCATTCTACCGAGCTATTTAAATATCCAACCATGGTAACAACTATTATACTTATTGTGATTTCCCATATCCTTCAAAGGTTAATGCTGACATAACACTTAATACCTTACAACATATGTTATTCCATTAGAGCATCAGATAATCTCCAGATGCAGAGACTGCAGGTATTATTACTGTTTTACAGATGAGGAAACTGAGGAATGACTTGCTTACAGGTATACAGTTAGGACTCTTGGGGCAGCTAGGTGGCGCAGTAGATAGAGCACTGACCCTAGAGTCAGGAGGACCTAAGTTCAAATCCCTCCTCAGACATATAACACTTACTAGCTGTGTGACCCAGGGCAAGTCACTTAACCACATTGCTTAGCCAAAAAAAAAAAAAAAAAAAAAAAAGGACTCTATTCCAAGTCTAGTACTCATGCTCACCTGCCCACCTTTCTATGAGACGTAAGGAGTTATGTCCTGTCACCTTAACATATTCAAAGTTTGTTGATTAACGGATATCTATTTTCCCGCCAGAAGGCTCTTGTAAAGGAGGCCAAATTCAGGAGCCAAATTCACAATTCAATCTCTTAGTATGCTCCTACACTTGAGACTTCCTCTAAAGCATTTTCTAGGTATAATGTATGATTCTATGACTACATTACTTAAGGTTCATCCCATTTTATTGTTTTATTGTAAGACAGCACATTTACTGCCCTTGGGGCACAGAAGCTTAAGTTAGGTCCAGGGCCTTTTTCAGAGACACAATCCATTTCTCCAGGGATGGATAACAGCAATAGTTCTCAAACTTTTTGGTTTCAGGATCCCTTTACACTTAAAAATTAATAAGGACCTCTCCCCCAACAAGCTTTTTTTTTTTCAAATGTAGGTTATGTCTATCACTATTTACTGTATAGAAATGGAAGCGGATATACTTTTGAAATATTGATTTATTAATTCATCATAAAAATAACAATACATTACATATTAACATAAATAAAACTTTTAATGAAAAATAACTTTCCCAAAACAAAAAAAAAATTAGAGTGAAGAGTGGTACGGTTTATCTATTTTTTGCAAAACTCTTTCATGTCTGGCTTAAGAGAAGATAGCTGACTTCTCCTATCTGCTTCTGCATTCGATCTGTTGTGATTTTTTTTTTGGTTGAAATATTAGGAAAAAAATCCAGCCTCACACAAATGTGTAGTTAGAAAAGGAAGAAGTATTTGAATAAGCAAATAACATCTTACTATTATTATGAAAATAGTTTTGACTGAAGACTCCCCACCCATAAAAAAGAGTCTTGGGGACCCCTAGGAGTCGGTCTTCAGCCCACACTGTGAGAACCACTGGATTAGAGGCGATTTTCCAAGGTCCAGTTAGGGATGAGCTTGTATTCCTCAGATGGCTCATTCTGAGCTAGAGAGATGACTCTAAGTTCCTGAAGATGGTGGCATCAGAGTACAAGTTCTGGTGAGTTCAACCAAGCTAGAGAGACTTTGAGAAAGGACCTAGTGATGAAGTATATAACTTTTTCTAAGTATGATACCAGATAAGTCTGGAAGGGAGAAGGGAGTGGGGGGTGGGGTGGGGAACTCTTCATCAGGCTAGCCAAAAGGGATGAATCTTTCAGATCAAACAATTCTGGATGACCATCTATAAGTTACAGAGGGGTGGTGGTCTGCATTGTGGAAAGAATGGTCACACCTACAAAATTATAGACCCTTGAAGTATCCAAGCTGGGATTCAGAATCAATAGTGTGAGCACACACACACACACACACACACACACACACACAATTTGTTATATGGGATGGCTCTCTGGGAGGAGGAAGCGGAGAGATACTGGGAAAGTCTGATGATGTAAAAAACAAAAAACAGCAACAATTAATGGCTACTGAAATACTTTCCTTGACTACATCTCTTTGCAAGTTTTGTAATGAAACAATTGAATTAAAATGCCTAATTGCTTCCTTTAGTATAGGAGTTCTTAGCCTTTTTTTGTGTCATGGACCCCTTTGGCAGGCTTGTAAATTCTGAGATCCTTTTCCAGAGGGACATTTTGAAATGTATGAAATAAAATACTTTGGATTACACACACAAAACCCCCGATTATATTGAGATAGCTATCTACTTATCTATCAATAAAAGCTCACAGACCTCAGGTTAAG